TTGCCCAGCCCTCCCTTCAACCCCTCCAGCCCTCCCTATTTACAAAGATTTTGTTCCTATTTTTCCATTTTCTCATATTAATCCCATTCCCTTCTATCCAATGCTAACCAGTGAATGTGCCTCAATTGTTTTTCTATGCTGAGGGCCCAGCTTTGTTTAACTGCCTTATAATAATTTCTGACGAACTTAACTATCTGCAATAGGGGGATCTTGTAATGAACAAGTCCCGCTTATTTCTCCAGCCAGCTTTGCCACCTATCTCATATCATTACTGCCTTAGCACTCCTGTGCAAAGATTCATTTTAGAACCTGTCTTTGGTCTTCCCCAACTCATTCTCCAGATCTCAGCTTTAACCTCAGACCTTTAAAGACTTTCCTGGACCCTAACTAGATTCTCTCAGGTGCTTCACATCAGGAATTTGTACACATGTTTTGAGAGCCATGCTATATAATTTTTTGGGAAAAATCATTTCATAATTAAATTATGGTTAGGGCTGTCTGAGGCCTAATTTCTCCTTACCCTGCTTGCTGGCTATGACCTATGGAAACATAATTCCATGTGCTTCTGGTCACAGCTGAGGCCTCAATGGTCCTGAGATGCTGTGATGCTCCAGGGCAAGATTACATCAGTTGAAGACGTCTTGGTTCCTGTAGAACCCAGTAGTAATAAAAAATTTTTTTTAAAAAAAGAAAGTTTTTGCCTGGGGGAAGGACAAACTCATTAGCCTGCTAGCCCATCCCACCTATTATTGGAAGAATGCTTTGCCCATCTCTCCATGCTCATCAACCTAAGATCCTCATCAGCATAAGATCACCATCGCCCTCTGAGTCATCTGATACTCTGTCCTATTGTATGCACCCAATAAATACTGGCTACCAAGTGTCTTCCTCTTTGCCTACTCTGGTATGGACCTCCCAGCCCTCTCATATACTTTGAAAAGGTATCTCTTTGTCTTTCTCTAATCCTGGCCATAATTTCTTTAGGCACATTGGAGGACTGATCAGCCTCTGATACACATGTATATATATGTTTGTGTTAATCTCTCCCTGACTAAATAGCTGCACAAGATTTGAATCACTGTACTACATATAAGCCAGGCCTATTGTAAATGCTTCCTGGAATTATCTGCTTTAAGCCTCAGGAAAACTTATGAGATAAGTATTAATATCTGTTGTGGACTGAATGTGCATGTTTACCCCAAATTCATATGTTGAAGCCCTAACCACCAGTGTGGTGGCATTTGGAGGTGGTGCCTTTGAAAGGTAATTAGGTTTAGATGAGGTTACAAGGCTAGAGCCATCATAATGCTGTTAGTATCTGTACAAGAGGAAGAACTCACTGTTTACCCTAGAAAACAGAACATGGGAGAAGAGGGCCCTCACCAGAACCTCACCAGGCTAACACCTCGATCTCCAACACTCTGCTTCCAGACCTGTAAGAAATTTCCGTCAGACAAACCACCAAAACTAATGTTTCATTATAGCAGCTCCAGCTAAGATACTGACCTTTGGAAGAGGAGACAGGTGTGACTCAGATCATTTTCTTGCCAAGTGGAGACACAGTTAATGACAGAGGCAGAATTTTAACCCAGATCTTTTTATTTTTCTGTGGCTCCGCTAAACTGTGAAATGCTTAAGAAGTTTTAGTGACAACCAAACTTGATTAGTGATAGGTCTCCCACCACCTCAGCAGCTATTACGTATAGTAGCTGCCCTCTTCCTACGGTGCCTTGCCCCTTCCCCTGTGTGACGTCATGCCAAGATGGTTGCTCCCACCAAAGAACAAACCCTTCTTCCCAGCATGCCCCCGTTCCCACCTAGAGAGTAACCTAATACTCGCTCACCTCCTACCACCTAGTGACATCACCGGCTCCTCCATTCCCTAGTCACTACCTCACTCAACCCCACCTCAGCCCCTACAAACCCCACCCCATTCTCTATAAAAGACTCTCCCTGCCCCAGCCATATTGCTTTTGTCTCTCCTTTGTTCAGAGACAGCCCGACAGATCTATTCCCCTAATAAAGGCTTGTTGTGGCCTGGTCTGGTCTTGGTCTTTGGCCCTTTTACCTGACAATTAGTACTACAATGAACAAAATTAAAAAGTCCTTTTTTTTTTCTAGCAGTGTAGGGATCAAATCCAAGGCCTCCCACATGCTGGGCAAATGGTATACCACTAAGCTATATCTCCAGCCCCTAAATTAGGACTTATAAGGTTTTTTAACTAGACCTATGGAAAGCACATGAACTAACCAAATTATTTTTTAAAAACTCAGAGGCACTCAAGAAATTGAGTCCTTAATTATTAACCCTGTGAAGCCATAGCTTACTCTCTAGTGAGCCTCTGGAAAATCGAGCTCTAGAATACATTAAAAAAGTAAAACTTGGAGAAACTACAGTTTTAGTGGAATAAATTGAGGATTTAGATCAGTCTCACTTCTAATCTCACATAAATATGTGATTTAAGTTAAACCTTAAGCTCTGAGTATTTATCTGCAAAATGGGGATTATAATATATATCATTTAGATTTTTAAAATTATAAAATGAAAATTAAATTACCCACATTATAAATAATAAATCATATCTAATATGAAGATGATTATACATATATGTGCTTCTGTATACAACCAGTACTGTTAATGTTTTACTAAAGAACAACATCTTTATCAGATGATTTTTAATTAGGGCATAATTTGACTGTGGCCAAAGTAAATGTAAATGTCCCATTTTGGTAGAATACTTTGGGGATCA